CGTGTACTAATAATATTAATTTAATGTGCTTAAATAAATAAGTTAATGATTTGTATTATTATATTATTATTACTATAATGTATTAAATATATTATTAAGTGCATAATACATTTTATTAGTTATTTTTAATTATAAAATTATTACATTTTAAATTATTCACGCAGCGTGCGGGCAAGTATACTAGTATGGGTAATAATAAAAGCGATAACCATTCCTCTTATAATTTTTTTTTTTTGAAAAGGGTCTGATAAACCTCTCAACTTTGTTATTTAGAGCTGATATATGCCTCATTATGAAAGTGACTCGTATATACCCTCAATGTTATACAAATGACTCACATATACTCTTTTCCTCTAACGAAAGTGAAAAAAAATATTTTAATTTAATTTTTAAATTATTTTTTTGAAAAAAAATATAATCCATATGGGGTATATTAGATCCTCCTCACACGTATTTTTGTTTTTTTGACTTTTATGTTTCAACGACTAATTTTTATTATTTTGATGGTCAAACTTATTTATGTTTCACTAATTTTCTTGTAAAATTTATTATCGATGCCCCATTTATTTTATTTTATTTTATTTTTATAAATACAAAAACTATATTACAATACGGTCAAAAAAAAAAAGTTTTAAATTGAAGGATACCTTTGGGAGGTGTCAAGGTTGTGAGGGTATAAGTAGGTAGTGCATGTAATAAATGTTTAATCGAAGTAACTTTTCCACCTTATGGAAGAAAGTGTCATTATATGCTATCAAGAATTGTCAAATCTGGAATCTTTTTTTTGTTATCCCTCGTAATACTATGAAAATATTTTTTATTTTTTTCTCCCTCCTCAAACCATTTGACTTTTGATTTTTGTATCAATAAAAAAAGAGTCAAGTATGCAAAGCCACTTTATAGATTCAGCATGAGTTTTGTTGGCATCTTTATCTTTCATGTTCTATTTTACAATGAATGTATGCTTCTTCAAAGAATTGAACTTTCTCTTCCCATTAGTATGCGTATCGATCGATTCGGTTCGATTTTGAAGTTAACCGATTCGACTTATCGATTATCGGTTTGTAGACATGCTAAATCGTTATTAAACCATTAAGATATTGACTTGTTTTGGTTATTATTTTATCGGCTATTGATCGTTATCGATTTAATTGTTAAAATTTAACACACAAAAAAATCACTTAAAAACAAGGTGACAAATCAAATGAACCATGCATGCACATGAGTTGCCAAAATGCATCTTGCTTAAAAGCAAACACTGACGCATTGTAGAATAACCTAAAGTTTGAGACAACCTAAAAAAAAATGAAACTAAACTCTAATTCAAAGACTTTATATACCAAATGGTATAAATATAATTAGATAATTTACTATTGGGTTATCGGTTAATCCGTTAAGAAAAAACTTCAAACCTCTAAGAATGGATAACTCGATAATGAAAAAATCAAAACTGTTTTGAGAACCTGGAAGATTTCACCCAAAAATTAAGAAATCTAATTCCTGGGTAATTTCTTTGTTGTGTTTGAAAGGAATCTTCAACTAATTCCTGGCTAATTTATTCGATAAATTAAACGGCATTTTTTTGGTTTTCTTACACTTTGTTTGGATGGTTGTTACATATTCTTTCATAATGTATTCTATTGTGTTGTATTGTATCCTATCGTATTGTTTTAATGAATACAATGTTTGTATATATTGTATTCATGTTATCCGTCGTTACACAATGTCACACATCCATAATTTAAATGATAAACCTACAAGAAAAGTAGGGTACGGAGTAGAGTTACTATGAAAAGATACTTAGGATAAAATATGAGATATGATTATTAAATGATAAATAAAGACAAAATGAGAACAAAATAGTAAGGTAACAATGCGACGTTACATAAAATGTATCGTCGTGACCTAACGGTGATTCAAATGATACGATACAATAGAATTTAGGTAACAATCAAAACAAACATTGCATTTAAACTAACAATACAACGGATAACGAACATCCAAACAAGGTGTTAGGATCAATTCAATTTATGCCCATGCCTTTTCAGTACCAGAGGAAGACACTTCATTTTACTTCCTTTCTTTATCAATTCCAATACATTTAGCCTCTGCATCTTTGGTCTTTTCAGCATGCCAACATTGACTAATAGTGGAGAAAAGGATCAAAATGGTCCTTTATGTTTGAGTTAAGAATCAAAGTAGTCCTTCTCTTTTAACATGGAGCACTAATAGTTCTCCATGTTTCAAGAATTGGTACACTTTTGATATGCTTCCAAACATATGTCTATTTTTTAATAGAGCCTTTCTTTTGCACGTGAGAAAGCATATACATGATAATTTTAATTTCGCCATTGCAAATCAAATTTAACCGTCTTCTTTGATAACTCTGTATTCACGTGGTGGAAACAAGATTTTTCCCTTCTTCTCCGTAGTATTCATCCCTAATTTCATAACTTTGATTTTCCTATTATACAAACAAAAATCATTATTTGAAGTAAATTTTGAGCAACTTAAGGAAATTCCCTCCGAGAATCACTATAAATATACATATAGTTTTTTTTAGTATTTATAAAAACAAGTGAGGAAAGGAGAGTATTGTTCTGTGATCAACTCTAGTTATCTGTTCTTTCATAATTGTAATCAACATTAGTTGAATTAACTAGACTTGTCATCGCATGATATTTGTTTTCGAATATGCTAACAAGTCTTTTCATTCTAGATTGTCACTCTCCTTTTTCCTGTACTTTTCTTCTGTCACTCTTCTTCTCTAATATATATATATATATACGATATAATTTAAATAAAAGCTTAGTCAATTCTTGGAAGCAACTACCTTTTATTGTTGCGCCATAACAACATAATTGCTTCCATGAATCGACTAAGCTTTTAATGGAATTTAGAATGAAATTTTGACTATAGGGTTTGATTGAAGAAGAAAGGGAATATAAAATAGAAGTCTGATTTGATAAGGAGGTCAGAGGGACAAAAAAACTGAGTTTTTTTTTTTTGGTGGGTGGGGGGGGGGGGGGGACTTTCTCACGTGCAAAAGAAAGGTTGGGTTAAAAAATAGACAAATATTTGGAAGAATACTAAAAATGTACCAATTCATGAAACATGGAGGACTATTAGTGCTCCATGTTAAAAGAGAAGGACTATTTTGATTCTTAACTCAAACATAAAGGACGATTTTGATCCTTTTCTCACTAATAGTGTCCTAGCACTTTACATTTTACAATGTCGACAAAACTTACAAACGTTCTCGTATTCAAGTTTTTGAGTAAAACCTTTCAACGGATTATTTTAGATTTTTTTTAATCAACATAACTTAATGATATTAACAACCAAATGGAGGGGGACATAAAGCCTAACCTCCTTTTACATCTTAGGACAAGAAAGATCCTATCCTATTAAGGTTCTTGATCCAGAGATCTTAACAAAATAAAACAATTATACTAATGCATTTAAACTACAATTGTTAATGCATATAAATAAAAGTATTCAAGGTGGATCAAATTGCTAGGTATTAGTCTTCTTGGCTCTTCTTCGAAAGGCGGAAAAATCCAATTTATTCATCCTAAAAAGACCTTCAGTACTCACTTTTGGAAGATCCACTTCTTGCAAAAAATCTTCGGATCTTGAATTTGAGTGGCATATCTTGCTAGAGCATCTGCCACTTCATTCATGCTTGGTCTAGTTGTATTATTTGTAGCGAAATCCATAGAAAGAGGAGTACCGAGGGGCCTTAGTTCCAAGTATGATAATGGAACGGCAACTTGGCGAATCTAGATGTAGCCAGGGGTTGGGGTTCACTCAAACTCCCTTCGTCGAAAAATCACACTATATATAAGGTCAAATTATGATTTTATGAATATATATATTAAAATGAACCACCTAAAAACAAGTAAGAAGTTTAGCTCAATGGATAAAGGAGTTCAAGGATTGGCCCTATGTCATGGGTTTGAGTCCCACGCGCACACATCCATCTTATTTGACAATGAAAGCATAGTGTTTGGGTGTTTGGGGGGGGGGGGGGTGGATGTTGCCTTAGACTTCAATTATTTCCAAATATCCAAAGAGAACACCATCAAATGCTTCTTCGAAATAAATCTCTCACAATGGAAAAACCCTTTTTTCTAGAAACTCACCACTATCTTCAATTTTTACAACCAAATAAAAAGGGAAATAAAATTATATAATACATAAATTTGCTTTTTAACTTGTCCTGATCTTGTATTTATGTCTTTGAACTTTAGGTGTTTACGAGTAGACACTTATAATACTTGTATATATAAAGTTGAACAAGTAGATACATACATGGTATAATATACGTAAAATGTCACGTAGGGCATGAATTGTCATGTAAGATGTCACATAAAATAAGTGTGTCTATATGTTCAACTGGAGTACGGGTCGTGTCTCAATCCCATGTGGCAGATCATCCGAAAAGACCAGTTAAGCACCACTAGCTTGGTCAGCCTTTACCTGACCAACTTCCTAATACTACGCAGGCTCATCAAACAACGGTTTTTGGCTTTCTTCAGGATTTGGTCCAATCTATTCGGCAGATTCCCATTTATATAAGTTTAAGTGTCTACTTGTGTTCACCTAAAATTAAAGACATAAATTGTCACGACCCAGACCATCGTCCAGTGGGAGAACCATTAATACTAATTAGCTAACCAAAGAGCTACACAACTTAATAAAAACTAAGGCATTTAAAGTTATGGAAGCAGGTTTAAATGAGCAAAGAAATACGGAGTTCCCATAAGCACCAAAGGTTTAAACAAATAACTAACCAAACTAATGCGGAAATCTTAACCCCTGGAACCTGAAAGACAATGTACGAAAACTCTACTAACGACATGTTTAAAACAAACGGTGCAACCCAATTAAACATAAGAAATCCTAATGTACTAGTTTAAGTCTGGAATAGGGAGATAAACGAAAAGAGAACTCATGGCAGCCCGGAAGAACTGACTCACCCTTGAATTCGATGACGATCACTGATCTTCTAAACGAGGTATGTCAATAGCCGTTTGAAGATGCCCTGTACTCAACAAAGAAAGAGCAAGTGTTGTATCAGTACACCACCACAGTGTACTGGGAGGATCATACGACTATCCCACTAAGTGCAACATACATAAGCCATTACAACATAATAATAACATGCGCACACCGAACATATACAATATCAACATCATTACAAACAACGTACAATTTCACAATTCCTAAGATATACAATTATGTCAAGTCAATGGTCCTCTCATAGATTCCACACCCAAACAGTTAGTGTATCGGTACGTGGTACCCGTTGCAAGTTAGTGTGCTGGATCCTGATACCCGTTCCAATGTTTATGCTGGTATGTGACAACCGATCCCAGTTAGTATGTCGGAATGCAACACCCGATCCATTCAACAAGCCACAATCACATTCAGAAGTATATTCTCATAATCATACAATCAAGTCATCATTCATGGCATTCAATTATCCGTCTATCTTCATTTATGATTAGTGTGATCAATAATGTACCATTCACATATATCCATGTATCATAATGAAGCAAGAACAAACATATATCACACAACATGAAATCAAAACCATCACCTACCTCGAACAAATGTTGAAATCCCCTAAGAAACTTGATTCTTCCCTTTTCGGATTCTTTCCGCTTGTTCTTGGTCTACAAACAATCAATATAATGTTAGGATCAATAATCAAGACTTAATTACCAAGATAATAGTCAATAATATCAACCCTAGGTCAAACCCTTGATCCCAATATTCAAATTAGGGCTTTTCCCACCATCCAAACAGTTCCCAACCCTTCCCCGACAATAATTACCCATGAAACTAAGTTCTATTGTTCGAAAAATGAATTCGGGGAGTGAAAATCTTACCTTTAGCCTCAAGAATGATGGAAATTGTCAAGAAACACCTGGGGTCGTTCCTTAGATCTCAAATTTGAAAAGTGCAGAATAAAACATTTTTGGGGTTTATTTTCGACTTAATTCGTGATTGCCCCGCCACATTGGACCTCATCCCGCTATAGCTGCCCGCCCTAGCGGGAATAATCCCACATTGGCGGCTTGCATGGAAATAATAAGCTAAATTCAGAGATTTCAAATCCCCATTTCACAACACACCTTCAACCCGTGACACTTAGAAAATACCCATTCACGCTAAGATCAGTTTCGAGAGTTCTACTTGCCCGAATTTAATTCCGTAAAGTCGCACGGGTTCCTTAATGTCTTAGATATCTACTCATGTGATCAAAATCATAGTTAGATCACCCAATTGTTACTAGAGTTCCCTAGACCTTACTAACTCCGATTTCGTCCAAATCTGGACTAGGCTAGGAAATTCCAAGTTACTACTCAAAAGTTTTTTTGGTCCAATTCTTTCCCCATTGGTTTTTCCCTAACGATGTAATCAGGTCATTACAATAGATACCAATTTACCCATCACTCGTCCCCGAGTGATCAACTTGGAAAGACTGGCTAAAGTAAGGGTAGAGTAGTATCTGAATCGTCGAATTACTGGGGATACTTGTCTCACATGTCCTTCTCGATTTCCCAAGTAGCTTTTTCAACCAGACGATGCTTCTATTGAACTTTCACGGACTTTATCTCCTTGGTCCTCTGACCAACCAATTGGATACCTACACATCCTCCCATATAAACTTAACTAACAACAAAAGCGATTCTCAATAGCCACCAAAGTTGACCGTACCCATGTCCGCAACGTATTATCAAGGACCTCAACACAATCATCTGGACGAATCATTTCTCACATAAGCATTGTAAAATTCTAATTCATACTCGCTACGATTAGAAGTGAACTTGAACTAACCAACACATACTCATAATACTCAAACAATCATAGTCCTTATCAACATCTCCATCGCACAACATAGATTTTCATAAGCTTAAGTTATAAAAAATTGATCTTTAGACATCAGATACTTATTGAGGGATATGTCCAAGCATACAAACCCTCTAACCACATTATCGAATGCTAGATTTAGCAATTATGATTATAGATTACCCTTCAGAACAGTAGAATTGGACCCAATGATCCCCACATTCAACCACACACAATCAATACATGACCTTGACGACTAGATGCATATTAAGATTGTCGGACATGATTACGTAGGGTAACTCTTCTAAGAATTCTCATAAGCAAGGTGGTACATGTAGAACCACTAAAATACTTTAACAATTCTAAGACAATACCAAATATGTCATTTGAATTAATCAAGTCTTCCCAATCATCCCACTCAACCAAGAGAACATCGCCGAATTGGTACCCTTGATCCACCACTAGGGATTCACCCACAAAAGTGAAAACACACACGTGATCATAGCTAGTGAAACATACTCATCGCTGTGTACAAAATGAAATATATGGTCACGTAAGAATTTTACGGAATAACACTAAAGGTTTTTCTCTGAAGAGTCAATACCAGTCAATTCCATCGAGTTGACTCCACATACTCTTCACATCATTCCATTGAAGTCCACACTCTCAATACTAACCACCCTCATGAACACTCTGAACATTTACCTTACTATAAACCAACACTTTTAAATGAAAACCCCACTTGGGTACTTAACAATCAACAGTAATAAACCTTACGACTCAACCCAGGTGTAAGTCCTTTCAAATGCTCAATACATGATACAATTGATCATTTCTCACCTTGTCAACTCATACCTTGACAACATATCTCACCACGAATGTAGACTTACAATAAAAAAATATGAATTGTAATTTCAACCGTATAACACAATCCCCTTATCTATCAACATCAGTTTGTACCTTGAAGATTTTTATGAATTCATGGATCTTCACTTATCATTGATCGAATCTCCATCGATCTTACAATATCTTTGCTAATAATGCAATCGTACTCATTACTAAACTCAAAACAAAAATAAAGAACTTATCATCACACTTGAGCTAATGTTTGTACACTCATTTCTCAAGTCTTTTTCAATAGTTTTTAACCAATCTGACGGACTTGTGACACTATTACCATAGCCACAACAAAAACGAATGAAATCATGCATCTTTGAACCCAATTATCTACCCCTCTGAAGATATCTCTTTAGCCTTTGCAATCAAAATAAAATATTCTTGCTCTTGCCTCTCTTTAAAGGTTGTACTACATCCCACTAATTTTTCTTCATTATGACTCTAGCTCTTTAAATTCTATTCGAGTGGTGTTCTACCATCTCTGAAAACTGTCCATACAACCACGTTACTCACCAAATATTAGAAAACCACAACCCTAGATACTCGCAAGTCATAATTATTGTACAAATTTCGCTTAACCAACAATCTTATTATATATTTACATCTCGTCACAATCCACCACGAACTCCTATTACCATTATGCTCCATTAGCCCTGGTTGTCACTACGAAGTCCACCTTTTCATCAACATGACACCTCAAACTCATGTATAATCATCAAATTTAGAGGACTAACCCAATTTATACGCACTTTCTTACTAAAATACTTCAATTGCCTTCCCCCAAGTATAATCATTGGGACTTTCTTTATCCATAATCTTGTCATTCCGGTATCAATCCACTCTTTTATGGCTTAAGATAAAATCATTGGTCCTCATACTACCCTCCTTCTTCTTAACAAACAAGACAGGAGCACCCCATGGGGAAGCACTAGGATGGATGAAACCTTTATCAAGAATCCCTTGGATTTGGGCTTTAAGCTCTCTCAATTCTGCCAGAGCCATGCGTTAAGGAGGAATGAAGAAGGGTGAGTGCCAGTTTACAAGTCAATGTAGAAATCTATATCTCTATCCGGGGGCATACCAGGCAAATCAATAGGAAACACTTCTCTAAATTCTAACACTACATGAATAGACTCAATAGAGGGAGACTTGACCTCAACATCTCGAATATGAGCTACTTACACCAAACAATCCAGGAAATCATAGTATAGTTTCAAACTTCGATTGACATAACTTAATTACATCATTCGATAAACAACCCATACATGTTATGACAATAATACTAAATGCATTTTCCTAAGTAATGGTGTTCATTATTTAACCGTCCCTTACCAAAACTTCTTGAATGTTGTCACCTATAAACTAGAATCTGCAAATCTGACCTTAATCTCTTCACAAGCGACGATAGTAGCTAGCGAACCCTACAAAACTCTTAATTTTAGTCACAACCCAATTCCTGACTGCTTAAATCTTTTGGGGATCTACCACTACCCTTTTCATAAAGTGCCTCAAACGGTGCCATATCTATGTTGGAGTAATAACTATTATTATAGGAGAACTCACACAAAGATAAAAACTTATCCCAATGTCCTTCAATATCAATCACACATGCCCTCAACATGTCTTCTAACACTTGAATAGTCCTTTATGACTGCCCGTCCGTCTGTGGATGGAAAGTTGTACTAAAAGTGAGTTGTGTGCCCAATTCATCATGTAACTTCCTCCAAAACTTGGAGGTAAACTGGATACCCGGTCTGAGATGATAGAAAGGGGCACCCCGTGCAACCTCACTATCGCTTTCACATAAACCTTGGCCAATTGTTGAGCATTATAATCTATTCTGACAGGAATAAAATGGGCTGACGTAGTCAATCTGTCCACCACTTCCCAAATAGAATAAAATTTCCCCAAAGTCTTGGGAAGACCAACCACAAAACCCATAGCAATCCTTTTCCACTTCCATTCCGGAATTGGCATTCTCTGAAGCAACCCTGCAGGACTTTGATGTTCATACATTACTTGTTGGCAATTTTGACACTTAGCCACAAACTCTGTTATATCCTTCTTCATGCCAGGCCACCAATAAAGACGCTTCAAGTCTCGGTACATCTTGGTCACACCCGAATGGATAGAATACCGTGAACCATGTGATTTTGCCAATAATTTCTGAATCAAGTCGCCCACTCTAGGAACACAAATCCTTTCTTTAAAATTGAGCACACCTTTTGCATCAAGAGTGGTCTTTTGTGTCTTACCAATCACAGTATTCTTTCTAAGCTCATTCAAATT